AGAAGTACACTGTCAGGCATTTCGTCCACGTGGAGGGTAGAAGTACACTGTCATGCATTTCGTCCTCTACGTGGAGGTGTAGAAGTACACTGTCAGGCATTTCGTCCTCTACGTGGAGGGTAGAAATACACTGTCAGGCATTTCGTCCTCCACGTGGAGGGTAGAAGTACACATGTCAGGCATTTCGTCCTCCACGTGGAGGGTAGAAGTACACTGTCAGGCATTTCGTCCTCCACGTGGAGGGTAGAAGTACACTGTCAGGCATTTCGTCCTCTACGTGGAGGGTAGAAGTACACTTTCAGGCATTTCGTCCACGTGGTGTGTAGAAGTACACTGTCAGGCATTTCGTCCACGTGGTGTGTAGAAGACACTTTCATGCATTTCGTCCACGTTGTGTGTAGAAGTACACTGTCAGGCATTTCGTCCTTTACGTGGAGGGTAGAAGTACACTGTCAGGCATTTCGTCCACGTGGTGTGTAGAAGTACACTGTCAGGCATTTCGTCCACGTGGTCTACGTACACGTGTAGAAGTACACTTTCAGTAGAAGTACACTTTCGTCCTCCACGTGGAGGGTAGAAGTACACTGTCAGGCATTTCGTCCTCCACGTGGAGAGTAGAAGTACACTTTCATGCATTTCGTCCACGTGGAGGGTAGAAGTACACTGTCAGGCATTTCGTCCTCCACGTGGAGGGTAGAAGTACACTGTCAGGCATTTCGTCCACGTGGAGGGTAGAAGTACACTGTCAGGCATTTCGTCCTCTACGTGGAGGGTAGAAGTACACTGTCAGGCATTTCGTCCACGTGGAGTGTAGAAGTACACTGTCAGGCATTTCGTCCTCTACGTGGAGGGTAGAAGTACACTGTCAGGCATTTCGTCCACGTGGTGTGTAGAAGTACACTGTCAGGCATTTCGTCCACGTGGTGTGTAGAAGTACACTGTCAGGCATTTCGTCCTCTACGTGGAGGGTAGAAGTACACTTTCAGGCATTTCGTCCTCCACGTGGAGGGTAGAAGTACACTTTCATACACGTGGTGTCAGAAAAGACACGTGGTCGTCCTACACTGTCAGGCATTTCCTGTCGTCACGTGGAGGGTAGAAGTACACTGTCAGGCATTTCGTCCATCGTGGACGTGGTGAGTAGAAGTACACTCATGCATTTCGTCCACGTGGTGTAGAGTAGAAGTACACTTTCATGCATTTCGTCCACGTGGTGTGTAGAAGTACACTGTCAGGCATTTCGTCCACGTGGTGGAGGTAGAAGTACACTGTCAGGCATTTCGTCCACGTGGAGGAGGTAGAAGTACACTTTCAGGCATTTCGTCCTCGTGGAGAGTAGAAGTACACTGTCAGGCATTTCGTCCTCCACGTGGTGTGTAGAAGTACACTGTCAGGCATTTCGTCCTCTACGTGGAGGGTAGAAGTACACTGTCAGGCATTTCGTCCACGTGGTGTGTAGAAGTACACTGTCAGGCATTTCGTCCTCTACGTGGAGGGTAGAAGAACACTGTCAGGCATTTCGTCCACATGGTGTGTAGAAGTACACTGTCAGGCATTTCGTCCACGTGGAGGGTAGAAGTACACTTTCATGCATTTCGTCCTCTACGTGGAGGGTAGAAGTACACTGTCAGGCATTTCGTCCACATGGTGTGTAGAAGTACACTGTCAGGCATTTCGTCCACGTGGAGGGTAGAAGTACACTTTCATGCATTTCGTCCTCTACGTGGAGGGTAGAAGTACACTGTCAGGCATTTCGTCCTCCACGTGGAGGGTAGAAGTACACTGTCAGGCATTTCGTCCACGTGGTGTGTAGAAGTACACGTTCATGCATTTCGTCCACGTGGAGGGTAGAAGTACACTGTCAGGCATTTCGTCCACGTGGTGTGTAGAAGTACACTGTCAGGCATTTCGTCCTCTCCACGTGTAGAGGGTAGAAGTACACTGTCAGGCATTTCGTCCTCCACGTGGAGTGTAGAAGTACACTGTCAGGCATTTCGTCCCACGTGGAGGGTAGAAGTACACTGTCAGGCATTTCGTCCTCCACGTGGAGGTTAGAAAGTACACTGTCAGGCATTTCGTCCTCTACGTGGAGGGTAGAAGTACACTTTCATGCATTTCGTCCTCCACGTGGTGTGTAGAAGTACACTGTCAAGCATTTCGTCCTCCACGTGGAGAGTAAAAGTACACTGTCAGGCATTTCGTCCTCTACGTGGAGAGTAGAAGTTTCACACTCTTCATGCATTTCGTCCGTGGTGTGTAGAAGTACACGTGGTGTGTAGAAGTACACTGTCAGGCATTTCGTCCACGTGGTGTGTAGAAGTACACTGTCAGGCATTTCGTCCACGTGGTGTGTAGAAGTACACTGTCAGGCATTTCGTCCTCTACGTGGAGGGTAGAAGTACACACATTTCGTCAGGCATTTCGTCCACGTGGTGTGTAGAAGTACACTGTCAGGCATTTCGTCCTCTAGGGCAGAAGTACACGTGGAGGGTAGAAGTACACTGTCAGGCATTTCGTCCACGTGGTGTGTAGAAGTACACTGTCAGGCATTTCGTCCTCTACGTGGCAGGGTAGAAGTACACTGTCAGGCATTTCGTCCTCTACGCGGAGTGTAGATGGTCAGGCATTTCGTCCTCTACATGGAGGGTAGAAGTACACTGTCAGGCATTTCGTCCACGTGGTGTGTAGAAGTACACTGTCAGGCATTTCGTCCTCTACGCGGAGGGCAGAAGTACACGGTCAGGCATTTCGTCCTCTACATGGTGTGTAGAAGTACACTGTCAGGCATTTCGTCCACGTGGTGTGTAGAAGACACTTTCATGCATTTCGTCCACGTTGTGTGTAGAAGTACACTCTCAGGCATTTCGTCCTTTACGTGGAGGGTAGAAGTACACTGTCAGGCATTTCGTCCTCTACGTGGAGAGTAGAAGACGACTTTCATGCATTTCGTCCACGTGGTGTGAAGAAGTACACTGTCAGGCGTTTCGTCCACGTGGTGTGTAGAAGTACACTGTCAGGCATTTCGTCCACGTGGAGAGTAGAAGTACACTGTCATGCATTTCGTCCTCTACGTGGAGAGTAGAAGACACTTCATGCATTTCGTCCACGTGGTGTGTAGAAGTACACTTTCAGGCATTTCGTATACGTTGTTTGTAGAAGTACACTGTCAGGCATTTCAACCACGTGGTGTGAAGAAGTACACTGTCAGCCATTTCGTCCACGTGGTGTGTAGAAGTACACTGTCAGGCATTTCGTCCTCTGCGTGGAGGGTAAAAGTACACTGTGAGGCATTTCGTCCACGTGGTGTGTAGAAGTAAACTGTCAGCCATTTCATATACGTTGTGTGTAGAAGTACACTGTCAGGCATTTCGTCGTCCACGTGGTGTGTAGAAGTACACTGTCAGGCATTTCGTCCACGTGGTGTGTAGAAGACACTTTTATGCATTTCGTCCACATGGTGAGTAGAAGTACACTCTCATGCATTTCGTCCTCTACGTGGAGGGTAAAAGTACACTGTCAGGCATTTCGTAGACGTAGTGTGTAGAAGTACAATGTCAGGCATTTCGACCACGTGGTGTGTAGAAGTACACTCTCATGCATTTCGTCCTCTACGCGGAGGGCAGAAGTACAATGTCAGGCATTTCGACCACGTGGTGTGTAGAAGTACACTGTCAGGCATTTCGTCCTCTACGCGGAGGGCAGAAGTACACGGTCAGGCGTTTCGTCCACCTGGAGGGTAGAAATACACTGTCAGGCATTTCGTCCACGTGGTGTGTAGAAGTACACTCTCATGCATTTCGTCCTCTACGCGGAGTGTAGAAATACACTGTCAGGCATTTCGTCCTCTACATGGAGGGTAGAAGTACACTGTCAGGCATTTCGTCCACGTGGTGTGTAGAAGTACACTGTCAGGCATTTCGTCCTCTACGCGGAGGGCAGAAGTACACGGTCAGGCATTTCGTCCTCTACATGGAGGGTAGAAGTACACTGTCAGGCATTTCGTCCACGTGGTGTGTAGAAGTACACTCTCATGCATTTCGTCCTCTACGCGGAGTGTAGAAATACACTGTCAGGCATTTCGTCCTCTACATGGAGGGTAGAAGTACACTGTCAGGCATTTCGTCCACGTGGTGTGTAGAAGTACACTGTAAGGCATTTCGTCCTCTACGCGGAGGGCAGAAGTACAATGTCAGGCATTTCGACCACGTGGTGTGTAGAAGTACACTGTCAGGAATTTCGTCCTCTACATGGAGGGTAGAAGTACGCTGTCAGGCATTTCGTCCACGTGGAGGGTAGAAGTACACTGTCAGGCATTTCGTCCACGTGGTGTGTAGAAGTACACGGTCAGGCATTTCGTCCTCTACATGGAGGGTAGAAGTACACTGTCAGGCATTGCGTACACATGGTGTGTAGAAGTACACTGTCAGGCATTTCGTGCACGTGGAGGGTAGAAGTACACTTTCATGCATTTCGTCCTCTACATGGAGGGTAGAAGTACACTGTGAGGCATTTTGTACACATGGTGTGTAGAAGTACACTGTTAGGCATTTCGTCCACGTGGAGGGTAGAAGTACACTGTCAGGCATTTCGTCCACGTGGTGTGTAGAAGGACACTGCCGGGCATTTCGTCCACGTGGAGGTTAGAAGTACACTGTCAGGCACTTCGTCTACGTGGTGTGTAGAAGACACTTTTATGCATTTCGTCCACGTGGTGTGTAGAAGTACACTTCCAGGCATTTCGTACACGTGCTGTGTAGAAGTACACTGTCAGGCATTTCGTCTACGTTGTGTGTAGAAGTACACTGTCAGGCATTTCGTCCACGTGGTGTGTTGAGGTACACTGTCAGGCATTTCGTCCTCTACGGTGGAGGGTAGAAGTACACAGTCAAGCATTTCGTCATCCAGGCTTAGAGTAAAACTACAGTATGTCCTCCACGCGGAGCGTAGAGGTATATTTGATCTCAATCAGTGTATCGGGTATTAAGAAAATGACTACATTCCATCATAGTCTTTTATTATTGCGTAATATTCTATAAAGGAGTACAAGGATGTTGTAATTGTCCTACTGTATGAAACACTGTTCACAAAAAGTTAGTAGAAACGTTAGTGAAAAAGGACATATAGCAATATGGAATCAGTGTTGAGACAAGGATCACAAACAAACTAACTGACGAAGTAAATTGTATGTTATCATGGAAATCGATCCTCCGGTTGAAGGAGGAAATTGGTTCCGCAGGCGCAAGAACGCAAAGTCGTTGGTTTTCATTCTGCCTTAATTTTATGTTCTTCGTTGCTAATCCCAGATGCTGGATCTCCTGATTGCATGTATGCTCCTGGTATGTCAGTGCAATTTAGTGCTCAGTGTACAAACAAAGTGGTAATAAAAGTGACTGAATCATCGCTATCATCTTAAGAAATATCTTGTCTGAGCATGATCCCTGTACGATTTCGACTGTATCAAGAGAATGTGTTAATGGGTCACTGCTAAGTAGTGATGATACCAGGTGTTCGCGAAAAGGGAAGCTCGGCATCAAGAGAAGGTTGACTATTTAAAAGTTCAAGTCATTATGATTTTTTTTTAGTTTTCAGTATTTTGTGTGCAAAGGTTTACATATGACAAAGCATATGTGTACACAGGGTGAGATCATTGGTGAAGTACAAGGAACTGGTATTTTTACCGATATTAAACAACATGAGATCATTGATATACTAAAGGTCAACGGATCTTTTCGACCAAATTCTCTTACTTTCCTTTGGTGTGGAAAACCGAGTCATGTGCTCAATTTATAATGATATCAGATCAACAAGAATATAAAAATGCTAACCTCTTGCCTTAGTCGGAAATGTCACTTAGATACTATCACTTATGACGCCCAGCATTTTCACAAACTGTTTTCTGTGTAAACAATAGGGACATATGCTTTCACTTCAACAAAGTTAGTCACGTGTACAAGCTTGACAAATGAAAGATTTTAACAACAACGAACTCGGTTCTCTACAGAGACTGTAAAACAATTTGCATCACTGCACGGAGAAGCATTTAGAAGCTGGTATGAAGAACAGATACGAATGTTAATGGATAGACAATGTCCTTATTGCAACGAATGCGACGTTTCGGTGTTGATGCTAACACCATTATCAAGCAAGTGATGTGTAAGCATCTACACCGAAACGTCACAGCCATTGCAATAAAGCAGTTGTCTGTCCATAAAAATCGTTCCTGTTCAATTTGCATCACTTGAGGATTTCACCCGTCGTGAGATAACTGAAACTGTGTTCAAAGTGTCGATGACCCTAGATCACGCATTCAGCGTCGGTTCTGATGGAAGATTTGCCTCGTGTTCGGGCGCCATGGGCTGAAGGACTTCATCTGTGGTGCAGTCACTTGACGTCCTCTGTATCCAGGACGTATTGGGAACCAAGGCATGTTTCAGTTTCTGGAACGTCGTTTATTGTATCAATGCACAATGATACACTTAATACTTTGTGAACTTTGACAACATACAAAAGATCTATTTTGTTGTTTATCGGGCCGGATAAGAAAACAAATGGTTGACTCAGTAGCACTTACTACTTTTGGATGTAGTGTTGACTAAGCTATAAAATGGTCGGAATCCTTCGAGGTTCGTACTATGCTATTCTGCAAATATGATTGCTTGCTGATGCTATTCTTACATCTCAAGAAAGTTTTAAATGTTCAGATTTATGGACCTTTAAATGTGTGCGATTCAACCGTTTACCATTTTGAGGGTACTTCCACTTGACCTCAAGACTGTTAGGCAGAAAATGATAGGGAGTGGCACAAGGGAGCCAATAGACACCATCCAGCCAATTGCCGTTGCCCAGGGAGGAAAGTCGTAGTCCCCATACCTGGGTGGCCGATAGGAGTACAAGGAATAGATGAAGATTACCTGCAAACATAGTGAGCAAATCATAAATGCAGATACATCTCCTGGATTGTGAATTGTCATTTCGACACCGCTATTGCAATTCTAAAGCGCAACCTTCTTGTTTCCACGACTTGAAACCGATCAAACACATCTAAGACGAGCTGGGAAGACGAGTGCTACTGTAGATGAATCAAACCCAGACCTTGTAAAACGGACAATCACTCGTTGAACAATTGCGACGACTTCCGTCCCAGTAGGTCACACTTATTGTGGACTTCTAGTGTTTCAACAGTTAAATCAATGTGAAGTTCGCTTGGGCTTTCACTATGTTTCCAGTAGAATGTTGCTGTAATCCATTTATAACGGCCTGTATTGTTACCTGAATGATAGTAGTATGACACACATCTATTTCATAATAATGCAAACACTACTTCCATTACAGGATTCAATTGTCAAGTGTCAAATTGTTAACTTGGTTGAGTATATTTGTAATGAATTATGTTTACACCGGAGAGCACTTGGCATAAAGCTGCAATTGTCGTATTTAATGAAATATATTTAATTAAGAAATTGTTGTGAAGCAAACCAGCAGAAGCAGAGGGCAGATGAACTTGATAGAGATAATCATGACACGGGGAACAGACTTTCCCCACATGGAATTGATGTCCTCTTGAAGCCTTTCTGTGCCTGAAACGTACAATGGTCACACAGAGATCTGACAAATACCTTGCACTTGTTATCATAAAGTAAATAACTATCTGACGTTTATGGCTTGTGTGCATTTAACTGCAGTGTAAGTTTATTTAGCATGAATGTTGAAGAAGGTTGTGCCAATCACACCAGGAGAACTTACTGACGTCGTCTACGTATGTGCTCATCGTAGGTTATGACGGGGGCCCTTGGGACAGGGGGCGAGCCCTCCTGAAGAACTGAGAAGTACTGGTGCTGGATGTGAGACGCTTGGGACAATATAGGTTGTAGCCGTATCACAAAGTGCACATCAGAGGGAATTTTACCGTCATGACTACCGCTTACGTATTTCACGTGGGCAATAGACCCTATGTAAACACAATCCTCTGTCAGAACAACAGTTAGGCAACTTCAGATATTGCTTTAATTCTCTTTCAAGAATAACTTGTTGAAACAACGTCACCATTGATGTGAGGCATTACCAATATGAAACTACAAAGAAAACGTCCCACGAAAGTTTGTATCGTGTTACTGAGAAAGTGTAATCCCAAATATAACATTTGTTACATTTGAGCACTTTCTAAATGTCATTGTGAGTCAGAAAAATGTCAAGTGTGATGTCAAACTGGACCTTGTTAGCCAATCCATATGGCGTCTGAATGTGTGTTTAGACGAATAAAGTTCTTTTCTCGTTCAGAATCAGAGGTCACTTCTTTGTGCTTTGGCTCTCCCGTATCAGAACTTACCATAACACCAGCCAACAACAAGGCATTCCATAATGACAAAAATCGCAATAGAGGGAAAATATGTAAACCAGTCCACGAGCGTCAAAATGTATATTCCACCCTGAAATGTAGGAACGATAGATTGAAGGTTAACAATAATAATTAGTTCGGAGTCGCTTGAATGTTTTAATTGTTATTTGGAGTTCTGAATTTGCATATGCATTCACATCAAGGCAAATATATCACGATTGTGCTAAATGTTGATATTGGGTTCACTTAGGCGGTTCGTATTAATTTACAAATGCTTGCTGGCACCTTCATTTGTATTAATAAGTTATATAGACACATATTTCAATCTCAGGCAATGAAAATATACTACGTCTTACCTGTGTAATGTACAGCAGCGAGTAGAGAAAGTTGAGTACAATGATCGCTGCAGTGACAAGCCACCGACGTTCCGCTAGTCCTCGAAACTGGTCTCCTGCTGCAGCCACGACGATTTCAAATGCGGGAACCTGCCAATATAATATAACCTGATTGGATGACGTCAGAAAAAAGCGGTTAGTTCCTGATGTCATCGGTGTGTGTGTGTGTGTCAATATATATATATATATATATATACACACATATATATATATATATATATATATATATATATCAGTTATATATATAAAACAAGAATGCCTTTAGATTGTAGCAGTTACAGTATGACGTCATTGTAATGTGACGTCACAATAGGGATTCTAGAGCGACATGGTTAAAGCTCACCTATATGACGGCAGCATGTAACGTTTCACACCATGGTCTCACCTACACGGAGCTAGCAACTGTTGACATATACATAGTACTGCACCTATATGACGGCAGCATGTAACGTTTCACGATTGGATCACACAATCCAGTGATTGATATTGTCAGGAATGAACATCACATGTAAAACATATGGTAAGCTACTGAACAGAAAATCACCAGTGAATCAATCTCCAGTGTCATGAGCATCAGGAAGGTGAAGACCGCCCACACCTGGGGCAACGGGAGGTAAGTCAGGATTTGTGGGAAGACAATGAAAATCAGGTTGAATCCTGAAAATACAAAGACAATATTCATTAAGGATGTGTACAATGACACCTCAACAGAGGGTGTATCTGTGAGCTTTAGTGTTATGGATAGATGTGGTCTCATATAATATACAAGTATATATGTGGTGGTAGAAAGCTGTTACAAATATGGTCAAATTGTCAGTAACAGCAAATGACTGAAGTGCTAGTAAAGACCGCGACCGGATTGACAGTGGTTGTTACAAATTGTTGCTATTCATTATAGTCCTGCTGGCTTGACCTCCTCGTCTCAATTTAGAAATCAGCCAGCACCAAAGCCCTGTATGTATTTCTTTAATTTATGCAGCATGGAAACAGTCGAGTGTTGCCAGAATGAGTGTCGTCATATTACGACCGCTTCAGCTGAGGCAGACCTCGTTGTCGGTGCATGGTCATTGCATTACGAAACCATCGCATTCCGTGGACGTATAACGAGGGAGGCGAAACCCGTGAAGATATATATGTCAATGTAAGTCTCACCTGATGATTCAAAATCCGCGACAGACATACCCCTTTTGTAAGCAACATGCCCAATAACCGCGAAGAAAGCAAATCCAAACAGGATCGTGCTTATCATATCGATCAGTGTTACCTGGATAGCATCTCTGAAGAAGAGAAAAGATTTGAGAAAGTGAGTTGTTATCAGAAGATGGATATGTATCATGATGTTACTGTATCATACGTAATGATGACTATAATGATGCCGAAAATAACTGGTTTATTTTGTTGATAGTTAAAAAGAATATACTGTCGAAATTAAAAAATAAAAAACCTTGCACACATATATGGGTTTACGTACTTAAAGCAGTTATTGTTGAACCTACTGTGCCCGGACAGCGTGATGACACATCCGAATCCAATACCCAAGGAATATAAGGCGAAGCTGCAAGCCTCAATCCATATCTGAATAAAGAAGAGTACAGCATACGTCGTGTTGTAGAGACTTGAGGTCAACCCCAAAGTTATTCGCTTAACAGCCACGGCAGAAATAGGTTGAATCAAATTCAATGGTGTTTCTTCAGATTTTATCTTTGAAATAAATATTTATGAGAATTTTAGTTTTGCAGCAATTAAACTCTTACCTTGGGTTCAAGAAGTTTCTCAAACCGTGGGTAGACGTAATAATAAATTCCCTCAGCAGATCCGGGAAGTAGACAACCACGGACGAGGAAGACGAACATGAGCATGTATGGCACCGCCACGGTGACGTATACCAGCTGAAATGACATCATTGAACCATTTAAGTCTTGCTGCTGGAGGGTGACATAGTCATTCAACGACTTTTTACATTCAGGAATCACCAGCTTGATTAACGTATCCTTTACGTTGCTTCTACAGGTATTATGTCAGCAACGTGTGAACTAGTATTATGAACAATATCATTATGCTTTCATTGACAGTACCTTGCCAGAGACCCTGATTCCCTTGAATACACACAGGAATAACGTGACGTAGGTAATGAGAAGGCAGACAGCTATTGGCCATCGTAGCCCGCCGATTGTCTCTAATCCATCCGTAACTTGTAGCACTTGTAATCTTATGAAAGAGACAAAATAATATCATGCGTTTATTATTTGCGTATATTAGCCTTTATTAGGCATCTATAAATTATCTAAAATGAAACACTAACATTTAAAGCTGACGGTTTCAAATAAGTTTACTTGTGACACCATCGGTTACCTGGAAACGCCGACACAGAAACTTGGTCATCCGTTTGAAAAAGATATGAATACCTTCTACATTATAACAGCCAGTAGACATTGTATTCTCTCCAAAAATAGAAATCAGATCTCCTATCATGCCATTGGACCATATCATGGAAAGTCATGTAATATTATGTGCCTCGTTTTTAATTTAGTTGTATAATCATTAGATTATTCCTGTAATTACCTCAGGGGTGGTGTGGTAGCCTAATGGTTAAAGCGTTGGCTCGTCACGCCGATTACCTGGGTTCGAATCCCCACATGGGCACAATGTGTGAAGCCCATTTCTGGTGTCCCCCGCCGTGATGTTGCTGGAATATTGCTAAAAGCGGCGTAAAAACCAAACTGTAATTACCTCCAGAACTCCTCTGTAGCAGTCATCCCGGCGACAGAGGTAATATTAGTGGGGTCTGCATCATACATGACACGGGTAGAATTGGTCAGCATTTCTGTGTCCTCAGTTAAAGTGCTGTTGTCATCACTGGTATGAGATATACACGTTTCCGTATTCCACGGGTTGCCACAGTGCCCCCACGGAAGGGACGGTGAAAAGGAGTTGTAGAAATAGTAGGCAAACCACGCAAAGATGACGCTGTAGGACGCCGTGTAGAGAAACATGATGATCACTGTTCCCACACCAATACCTGCAGCCAAAACATTAGATGCACACACAACTACTTCAGTCAGTTCCATCAGTTTGGTTTCACGCTCAGGATGGCATGTGTTTGCAGCTGTTTCCATACAATACTCACAGGCATGAAAACATACACACATCAAGTCAGTTGGATATGTTAATTCTGTACTTGCTTCACAACTCGCCGGTATATATTTATTTAGAAAGTACTTTTGTTACAACCATACCACAAGAACATGTTACCTTTAAACGGTGGACACAGGTTCCAAACGTTGACAGGTCCACTCTGCGAGTATTGTCCGATGACCATCTCCAGAAACACACAGGGAATGGTTCCGATAATAGTAAACATTACGAACGGGATCAGGAATGCACCTACAGAAAATATTGAGCATTGTGACAAAATAGAAATATGTTGCATTTTCCTGGTTTTGGACCGGTACTCTCTCGAACGCAACTAGTTAGTGCCAAGGCTGATGATCCTGAAATTCAAGTACTCACTACACGACCACTTTCTTTCTATGAATAAGGTTCAAGGTATTCTTCCTAAAAATGTCACAGTTACACGATTTGCGGACCAGATCTTTAACTGTGTGTCTACGTTCCAAAGCAGATTGTTGACAGGTAAGAATACGACAAGAGTGGGAGAATGAAGAGAGATGGATAGATAAATTGTAGGAGAAAGGTAAGAAATGAGCGACCATCAAGCATGAGATATATATGTGTAATCAAATGATGACTTATACAAAAGATTACACTATTCACAAAGTCGTTCACAGTTTACCTCCGCCATTACGCATACAAAGGTATGGGAACTTCACAAATGTCCCAGATCCAACTGCAAAGCCAAGCAAGACGATGACATAGTCCAGATGATGACGCCATCTTTCGTGAGCCATCTCTGTAATCACAAAATAACATGTTACTTGTATTAAGGACACTGAATAATTCCATTGATCGCAACCCCATGGGACTCAGGACTCGTAATGCTGTCAATCGCTCTTCAATGTCCTTCGCCGGGTGGCCCTCTGGGACCAAAAGCGTTATGACTGCTCTGTACTCAAGCTGGAAACTAGCGACACGTGCATGTCAATATTACGTTTATGTGAATGATACAATATCTTCAATATCACACAGTTATTCTAGGCTTAAATCTTTTTGATAGCCCTCGTATGATTGCTGGAATAGGCATGAAATACGACAGACAGTCACAAATCATTCCGTGGATGTGTAATAAAATCGTGGTTTATTCACTCAGGTCTTGTGTTGTGTGTGGGTTGGTATGGTGGTACCTCTTGCCAAGCGAGCTGATTCCCCAAACACTCGCACTTTAATAGATCTGCCACAGTCTACAAGGCTTACGTTATCCAATGTTCAGGTGTAGGATTCTTAGGTCTGTCACAAAGTGCACTGCATAGGAATCCCATTCTCACCTCAATGATCCTCCTGTCACAAACTGAAGGCCTATTATTCAGTATGTTTTCTTTTCTCTTTATCGCACGTACAGGGGTTTTATGTAAAAAAACGAGTATCAGCAACGTGATCATGACATGTGAAAGTTTAATGAGTTGCAACAGTTGCACAAGCCTTGTGCCCTAGTCGTCTGTCAATACACAGTCTGATGACTCATGTGCTACAGACGGGAAAAGCTGCAGATGGCCCAGGGCCTGGGGCACCGTGAATGATGTCAAACAAATATGACGTTCAAATAAAAAATACATCACCTCCACTGGCAGACACCACTAGTGTCAACACGGACCAGATTGAATCGTCTGCCTGTCATCTAGTCGACCATGTACAGGACATTTGCTAACACAGTTATACCCTGCTCAGCGTTTTCGATGGGTCCGCAGATACAACCAGTGGCGATGGCAGGGTACAGGTGTGTGCCGGAGGAGGGGTTAACGTCACGTACAGTGTTGTGTTAGTGAGTGAGTTTAGTTTTACACCGCCTTTAGCAATATCACGGCGGGGGACACCAGAAATGGGCTTCACACATTGTACCCATGTGGGGAATCGAACCCGAGTCTTCAGCGTGACGAACGAACGCTTTAACCACCCGGCTACCCCACCGCCCCGTTGTGTTGTGTTGGTGGATGTTGACCGATTTGGAAGGAGAAAGGGTAATGGATATAGGAGCATTTTGTGCCAACGGTCGATATCAGTTGATTATGACCATGGTCCAGAGGAATCTTACAGTACCGGGACCAGGTCTGTTCGCCATTAATGCAGCTAAATGGTCTTGGACTGACATTTCAACCTGACAGGGCTACTGCATAGACTCCCCTTCCCGTTCCATTGCGAGAACTTGGGCAGTTATTCGTTGACCGATGCTTTAAGTTTACCGATAGGTTCTCGTGTCCACGAGGAGACGTTGTGTTGCCATCACGGACAGCCTAGAAGGTTATTCACAGTGTCTGTTCATTAGAGAAAAGGTCAAGTTTGATCAGATTGTAGATGTTTTGAAGGGAATGGCGTTGTATAAGAACACGATGTGCTGGTCTTTAGTGTTACTACTGATTCCCAATGACATTTTACTTAATTTGTGAATCGGATAACACTTCTGTAAGTTTTCGTATCATTGAATTATTTCGAATATAGATTTCTTGGATACTATACTGTTTCAATTTGAAAGGCAACAGGCAACAACATGTACAGGAAGCCTTCTACAAACTGTTACCTACCATGCAACTTGAATGAAGTACGGAGTCAGACCCAGAAGTGATTCTGCAACTGAAAACTATCTTCTCACAGCGGAGCCCTCTATGCCAAAAGACTGATCTGGAAGCAAAAATTTAACATCTATATATTTTATGAGCGTTAATGGTTGTTAACAATTATAAAACAAAATACAACAAATAATTATATATAACAATTGTCACATGGTATCTACTGCCTTGTGTCAAGCCTTGTTCGGCAATGATCTTTACGGCCTGGCTGGCGATTGGAATAAACAGAGTGTCGGTTAAACTGTTAAATGTAATTATATGAATATTTAGTGGAGTACGCCAGCTGGCTCCAGATGGAAAACACAGCACGTTTGTCAAAACTCTATCACATCTCGCCGTTCATATATTGTGTCATAGTCGATGTCAGTAAAATACCAAATTTCAACCTCCGTGGTCCCTTAGATTTCTGTATCGTGTTCTTGTATCCAATATTACTATACATAAATTAAATATTGAATCAAATATTTCAAAACTAGTCTTAGGTTATTGGCTTCTCGCCAAGTGTGTGAATACTGAATACACAGTCTGAGTCTTTACATGATGTCTTCTGGAGTGAGAATAAAGTCAGAAAGGGATGCCAGTTGTTGAATCAAATAATGAGCCTTGAAGAGGCAGAATTGGCCACCATAACCTCTTTTACTTCTTTACTTTGCTATCAAATACAGTCGGACCTTTCCTCAACGGGGAGGAAGAACATGATCCTGGACCTCTTAGCACAGATCCCCAACACCTCTTACTCGTCGCCTTTTCATGTATGACCTTGAACTGCTTGGCAATGAGGAACCAACATTGGAAAAACACAGATTCTCCTTGTCTTGTGATTTTTTAATAACATTTTGACTCAGACATCCATCCATGGTACCACCCAGAATATAGAGGGCGTCCTGGAAAATGATAATAATAACGTTCTTCAGAAAAGTTCCATGTACAGCCTCAGAGGCATCCAGATCCACAAACCTCACCTTGTCGCTTTTGGTATATTCAATAAAATACATATCATTAAAGTTTCTGTCCCTTTTGACACCACTGTCATTGACATGATCCTGGAAAAACATGACTATTATGCCGACCTCCCCTATGTTATGTCACCCTTGCATCCCGAGTACCGCGCTGTCACCCCCTTTGTCCTTGGTGATTTAGCTTTCATGACAGTAACACTGGCAGAGTATCCGAGTTTGCTGCCAGGAACATATCTGGGTAACGCAGCGGGCTGCAGCGTTGGAAACATAACCTGTCGCTACTGATTAGCGGACAGACAGACAGATTGTTTATTAAAGTTTCACCTCAAAATAAAATAGATTCAGTACCCAAAAAAATAAAAGTTGAGCCACTCCTATAAGGGAACATGAAGTTAGAAACGGATTCGGGATTGGGGATTCGAATCCCGAATCTGAATATTTTTTTCACGTTTGGGATTCGAATTCCGAATCTGAATATTTTTTCACATTTGGGATTCGAATGATGAATCTGAATTTTTTGTTCATTTTCGGGATTCCAATCCCGAATCTGAATATTTTTTCCATATTCGGTATTTTTTGCACATTCGACACTCGGCATTCGGTATTTGAACTCTTATATTTCATCCCCCTTCTAAAGTACTAGGTGCTCGTTGTATACCTGGGTAACTACAGTTTCCGATATTTCAACCTCAAATCTGAGTGTTCTCAACATTCGGTTTTCCGATATTTCAACCTCAAATCTGAGTTTTCTCAACATTCGGGTTTCCGATATTTCAACCTCAAATCTGAGTTTTCTCAACATTCGGGTTTCAGGATTTGCATCCCGATTCTGAATATTTTTTTCACAATTGAGATTCGAATCCCGAATCTGAATATTTTTTCACATTCGGGATTCGAATGATAAATCTGAATATTTTTTTTTCATATTCGGGATACATACATACATACGAACATACTCAAACATGCATGCAAACATATACACATATCAGCAAATACATTTAAACATAAAAAATACTAATAAAATGTTAAGAATTACCCAACTGTATGTAAAGTACACCCATGAAACATTTTAGATATAGTATTAGCCAACAATATATTAAATTCAAAGTTTTGAAGACTCTTTACATTAATGAATAAATTATATATATCTTCATGGGTACATTATACAAACTGAGAGAGAGGGTAAATAAGTCGTATGTAAGATTATAATAAAAGTCACATTCACACAAGAAATGTATTTCATTTTCGACCTTTCCGCAAAAGGGACAGGTTCTCAGGTGAATAGGAGTAGGGGGGTTAGAAAAACGTGCTGTTTCAATATACATCGTAATTACAATATGAGATATTCATAGGTGGGTTGAGACAACAGATGGATTGTTCATCGGTCTGAATAGTGCCCCAGTATCCATTTTCGCTGTAGCTAACCATTCTTTGGATAGTGTACAACATTATCTTTGTTCGCATCGTAGTTTGCAGGTTTCATTACATCACACAACCTCACTGATGCTGCAGTAGCTTCACATGTCACCACCTAACTTTAGTGATAAAAATGCAAGTTTTTTCAAACATACATTAGTCTCCACAAACCCGTATTTAGAAATACTATGGTTAGTTGGATAAATGCCAAACTTCATCCCTTCGTTCATTCATCATGCATTCATTCATTGGTTCCTGTGACTGGTTCTATAATGTAGGATGAGCGACTTATTGGACGTTTCTGCTGAATGAAGAAATATCGTTTTTGAGGTTTTATTTTGCTTACATGTACAATATTGGGGAATTCGAATTCCAAATTTTGACAAGTGAAGGTGCAAAGAGTATAGTTACAAGGACGGTAAAGTTCCGAGTTCCAAGTGTGTTAATACCCGCGAAGGTGCGGGTTAGAATTGGCCTTCGGTAAACCATGCTTGTTGGTATAGGCGACTAACGGGATCGGGTGGTAAGGCTCGCTGGCTTGGTTGACACGTGTCATCGGTTCCCCATTGCGCATATCGATGCTCATGCTATTGATCACTCGCTTGTCTGGTCCAGACTCGATTATTTACCAACCGCCGCCATATAGCTTGAATATTGCTGAGTGCGGCGTAAACCTAAACTCACTCACTCACTCTCCAAATGTGTTAATGAAATGCATGATAAGAGTTCAAATACCAAATACCGAATGCCCAATGGCGAATGCCGAATGTGCACAAGAAAAAACTGAACGTGAACAAAATGCAGATTCGGGATTCGAATCCCGAATATGAAAAAAAAATTCAGATTCATCATTCGAATCCCGAATATGAAAAAAAAATTCAGATTCATCATTCGAATCCCGAATGTGAAAAAATATTCAGATTTGGGATTCGAATCCCGAATGTGAAAAAGATATTCAGATTCGGGATTCAAATCCAGAAACCCAAGAAAACTCAGATTTGAGGTTGAAATATCGGAAACTGTAGTTACCCAGGTATACAACGAGCACCTAGTACTTTAGAAGGGGGATGAAATATAAGAGATCAAATACCGAATGCCGAGTGTCGAATGTGCAAAAATCCCAAATGTGAAAAAAATTCAGATTTGGGATTCGAATCCCGAATATGGAAAAAATATTCAGATTCAAATTCCGAATCTTAAAAAAATATTCAGATTCGGGATTCAAATCCAGAAACGCGAATGTTGAGAAAACTCAGATTTGAGGTTGAAATATCGGAAACTGTAGTTACCCAGGTATACAACGAGCACCTAGTACTTTAGAAGGGGGATGAAATATATGAGTTCAAAATACCGAATGCCGAGTGTCCAATGTGCAAAAATTCCGAATCTGAAAAAAAATTCAGATTCGAGATTCGAATCCCCAATCCCGAATCCGTTTCTTACTTCATGTTCCCCTCCTATAAGGAGTTATGAGGGACTAAGTTCTGTAAAATGTACACAAAGATGAAATATTATTGTATAAAACGATACATGTTATGATAAATGAGTGAGTGAATTAATATTTAACGCCACATCGGCAATATTTCAGCCATATCGGGACGAGGACAATGTAATTTATATCAATATAGAAAACAATAAATTGGGAAAATAAAAACCTGTCATCGAAGGACAGTAAAACTACTAGAATATGACAGCTCTTAATTTAAAACTAGTACGCTAACATAAAAATATATCACTATAGACAACAATACAATATAAAACCAGGCTATAGATCACCAGCTACTGAAGGCTGATCACCACACTAGGGACCGTGGGGACTTACAGTACCTTTGCTACCTGCATGGATTTACAACATCCCTTCAGCAGCTGACGATTGTAGAAAAAGTTGGCCAAACGTAAAGTCACCAAAATACTACGTTTTAAAAAAGTTGGTAAGTTTAAATGTACTTTGAAAGATTTGGGACTTACGTTATGATAAATGAATATAAACAATTAAAATATAAAGCTGAATTAGGTATTAGCAACTACACGGACAAGTTGTATGCACAACTGTGAACGATCAGCGGTGATTATGATCGTCTTGCGGTTTGGTTGGATATTTTACGGAGCCCAGGGATTGTGTTTGCAGTAGCATATGGTCACTATTTCGGTATAATAATCAGTTAAAACATAAAACAACTCATGATTACATTACTTTCACTTATTTTGTATATGGGATTATTGGGCGGAGGACATTTGATTCAATGCTTCAGTGTATATTTGAATCAATATGCCCGTGTGCCTCTTTGTTTGGTTTTTGAGAGTGATGTGAAGTGAAGCTGTGGTGATTTGTAGAAAATCCTGAACTGTAGGCTGGTGGTAAATGACTCATGGGAAACAGGTTTGATAGGAACAATTTGCAATCTTCATCCCTTGTTTCCGGCCACAGCTCGAGTTTTGCTGAAGTTGACAAACATCAACATCTACAAACGATACAGTGTGCCCATGACGCTTCAGATAAATAATAAACGAAAACACGGTGATTTGTTCGAGTGTGTCTACACGTATCTGGTTCAGTAAAATATATACATGATTAAAGTTAAGATAGGAAACTATGTTCCTTATTAATAGAAACTACAATGTAAAACAAAAATATCTTCACTTCCCGTTTCTGTTGAATAAATGTGCCATGAACGGATGATTTGCGCACTCCAAAACACGTTATTTGAACACTGAAAGTATGTATATATAATTTTATACTTTTGCCCACGAGGCCTTGAATACGAATAAACTTCTTCTTCTATGTTCCTTACTATCAGAAACTAAAATGTAAAATAAAAATATGACATATCGTCACGATTTGCGCACTCCAAAACATGCAGTTTATTACCTTCATGAACGCTGTTGTGAACGGGCGCGGTTTGTGATCCTGAAGAAGGAGCAGAGGATCTATTCCACTTGGACATACGATGGCAGTATGGTGTATATCTGTGAACAGTTGGAAGGACTCATTCGTATCTTTCAAAGAGAATCTGACCTCGACAAATATAGGCGTCAATAGTGACTTAAATGTGTTTCACATTCATGCTTGGCTTATATGTTAAAGGTATTCAAATATGTAAGTATGTAAATATATGTTTATTTATTAATTGTATGTACCATATAAACACACAACACATTCTGTCTTTCTTCTTGTTAATGTTTGTATTAAATTGTGTATATACTATTCTTAATCTCACCTTTAAAGTTTACAACTCTCAAGTTACATTTCCGAGTACACATGTATCCAAAACTGAATCACTGTATATATCCATTTTTCTTTCTTCCTCTTTAGAACAATTGAGAAATCCTGCATTGCCAACCTATGATATATAATCAAATTCATTGTCATGTCTGCAGATAACACGATTTGGTATCCGCACGTGTATCTACCAACATGAAATCAACAAGCCGTATGGGTAATGACATAACGCAACACCGTGCGGCGATCGGGTCATTCAACTGTTTCACGTGTTCTAGTAGCAATAAGAAATGTTCGAAAACCAGTAGCTTACTTGCTGACAAAAATGTACTAGTCAGGTTCCTATGTGTTGAAGCAGAAACTGTGTGTAATTTACTATTGTTGGAATTGAAAGATTGTTGCTTGTTTTTGTATTTATGTCTGCTTCAATCACAGGCTACAAATGTCAATATCATCCTGATTTTTCTATTGTTACTTTAGCTTGCTGGTGACCTAGAGTCTAACCCAGGACATATTGTTCAGGCAGACAACTTACTGTCAATTGTTCACTTGAATGCTAGAAGTATTCGTAACAAGCAATGTTATTTGTCGGATTTTTTATCTGAATACGATGTTGTTTGTTTCACGGAGACTCATTTAGACTCAAGCATATATAATGAAACAGTGGCCTGGGAAAAGTTTCATGACCCGATACGTAGAGATAGAAATGCTTTTGGGGGTGGTGTTATGATGTATATATCTCGACATTTATCTTTTGACAGACTTTCAAATCTTGAAAATATGTATGATGAATCTGTATGGGTTAAAATATTTCTTCCACAAAAACCATTATTCATTTGCACAGTTTACAGGCCTGAAAGTAATACTGACTGTTCTAATGTTGAAGATGCTTGCTGTGTATTTTATGAACGTTTTAACGATTATACCAAACAACGTATTCCTTCTAGAATTGTGATGATAAGATCTAATGACAAACCATGGTATGATTCAAATATTCGACGTGAAAGTAGGAAGCGGGGTCGACTGAGGAAAAAAGCTAGGAGAACACGGAAGGAAACTGATGTTATGAAATACAAAAAACAGCGTAATAAAGTTAATATGAAATGTTATGCAATAGAACATTTTTATTCAAATTTGTATTCGAACTTTATGGTGAAAATAGATCATCATATTGGAAAATGTTCCGCAGTTTGATCAAGACGTCAGGTTCTGCCCCCTTCATTCCCGCTTTGAAAAGAAATGCAGATGAAGGTTGTCCACCAGCTTTTTCAGATTTTGATAAAACTAATATGTTAAATGAATATTTTGAGTCTATATCTAATTTAAATGGTGCAGATACAACTTGCTTACCACATTTTGACAAGCGTACCGATGCGGTATTGGAAAACATTAAAATCGAAGTTAATAAGGATTCAGATATCATTAAATGTCTACCTCTTAAGAAAGCTGCTGGGCCAGACCAGATTAGTCACCACTTACTCAGAAAAACTGTTAATTCCATAAGTCCAGTCCTGTGCATAGTATTTAACATGTCACTAAATTTGTGTGTGTATCCTAGCCAATGGGAGTATGCAAATGTTATGCCCTTATTCAAGAAAGGTGACCATTCGGTTGTATCAACCTATCGCCCAATTTCACTTATTAGTTGTGATGGGAAGTTGTTTAAGCATGTTTATAATTTCTTTGTGTCAAACGATTTGTTTTTACAAATATCAGTGTGGCTTCCGGGGATGTCATTCTACTGTTCATCAACTTGTAGAAATTTATGATCAAATTTGTACATCACTCGATAACAAAGAATACTATTGTATGGTCTTTTGCGATGTATCAAAGGCCTTTGACAGAGTTTGGCACAGAGGGCTTATGCTTAAATTAGAGATGTACGGAGTCAGTGGAAAACTCCTTGATTGGTTTAATAGTTATGTAACTGATCGCAATCAATCAGTCTTTGTTAATGGGTCGTTATCCAAGCCTATGGTGTTGAAAGCAGGAGTTCCCCAGGGATCAGTTTTAGGCCCATTTCTTTTTATTGTGTATGTACATGAGATAGCTGATAAGCTACATTGTATAACTCGGCTTTTCGCTGACGATACTACACTGGGAACTTTATCAAAGGACAAACAAGTGATGGAAAGAGCCATGAATGAAAATCTAGAAATATTAAGCGATTGGGCAAAGGTCTGGTTAATTTCTTACAATCCGGAAAAAACTGAAGCTATATTATTTACTTTGAAAGATGGCCGAAAAGACATTAATTTGAACTTTGATAACTGCAATATAAAAACAATCGATTTTCATAAACATCTGGGTTTAATCTTCACGTCTAACGGGAATTGGCATCATCATATTGAAAACATTATTAAAAAGATATCTAAAATGATTTGAGCATTTCGGAAATTAAGGTTCCTACTAAATAGCACAACACTAGCGAAAATATATACTGTATTTATAAGGCCATACTTTGAGTATGGGAGGTATGGGATGGATGTTTAATTGAACAAGCTAATAGATTAGAAAAACTTCAACTTGAAGCAGCGCGCATAGTTACTGGTCTTCCAAGATATGCATCTTCCAGTTCATTGTATTATGCAACGGGATGGGATTTACTTTCTGAGAGAAGGAGAAGACGCAATTTACATTATTTTATAAAATTCAAAAAGGTCTGACACCAGTTTTTCTTCAAGATTTACTTCCACCTGTAGTAGGCAACCAGACAAGTTATGAGTTCAGAAACTCCAATAACTTTAGTCAACCATATGCATATACAAGACTGAGGTACTCAACGTTATCTTTTATTCCATCAACTAAGTTCAATTGTGGAATAATATTCCCTTAGCTATTAGAAATTGCGACTCTGTTGCCTCGTTTAAATCTTATATCCACGTGAAGGAAAAATGCGCACCTTTATATTATTCATATGGAATAAGGAAGTTCAATGTTATGCACACTAGATTAAGATATATGACGAGTACACTTAATTATGATTTATATAGAATAAATGCAAAAAATTACGCAACATGTCAATGAGGCCATAGATGTGAAAATGTTTTTCATTACTTCCTTGAATGTCCATTGTATACTATTCAAAGACATAAACTGTTAAAATCTTTAGAACATATTGTCAAACATAGAACACTGATTGATATTAATCTTATCTTACATGGCAATGAAGGTCTCTCAATCACTGAAAACCAGAATGTTTTCAAATATGTACATATCTATATCTCTCAAACAAAACGCTTTCTCGGTTAACATCTGTTGTACATATCCTGGCCTATGTCTGTCACTTGTGTACTTTGTTGTAAAATGAATTGTTTAATTATCTGGAGAGGGCTTTTCTAAGTTGGATGACTTGTGCCCAATCCTTTTCTTGAATGAATAAAATATGTTTAAAACAAAACACAGTCGAGAGGTTCTTCACAATTGTTGAATACTTAAACCGTCAAGTCACCATCAATAATTAACGAAAGTCTCGCGCATGCGCGTGGTCAGACCCATACCTTTATCGATCCTTAAAATACACGGGTGATTAAATATCTTCAACGAGGGGCAGCCTTTAGTCGTTGTAACAATAATCCCTGGTAAATAAGCAATGAACGAACATGAAGTCTTTTCAACTATCAGACGTGAGAGTCAGCTGTGATGTATAGATGACAAATGCCACACTCTGACAAGACAATCAGTAAAACAATAAACACGTGGGCGGTGATACATTCTCTACACTCTAATTTAATACTTAAGTCATATGACGACCATGGTGGTGTTAGTTGGGTGTCGCATGTTCCTATCTTGTTAATGGGGGCTAGATTTTCATATATATGGATCTCCCAAGATTGTGGAGAAATACCGTGTTTTATGCAATGTTTCAAACAGAGATGTAAAGATTTTCAGTATCAAATACATCAGAGTAAATTAATCTCATAATCATTCCAACATAAGTATTGTGCTTACCAGACTGTTCTTGAACCAGAGCTGTACATTTTTAAACTTACTCCGAATAGAGACCTACTACATACTCAGTGTAAATTTAGATGCATGAGTCATAAACCTAATGTACAGCAATATCGACATGATAAAAATGCAAATACTGAATTACTGAAGTTTACAAAATGTAATTAAAATTCATCCAAGATGAGTTTCACTTTTTATCGGTTTGTCCATACTATGATGAAAGCAGAAAACTTTGGTTACCAAGTTATTTTTATACCCATCCCACACGTTAAAAGTTCAATTTGTTCATGTCTTTGCAAAATTTCGAATGCTTAAAAAATCTTGCATTCTTTTTTAAACGAAATCTACCAATGTAATTTGTATTATGTGGCAATAATCACTTCGATGTCCACGCGCACTAAAATTATGTATACATAATTTTATACTTTTGCCCACGAGGCCTTGAATACGAATAAACTTCTTCTTCTATGTTCTTACTATCAGAAACTAAAATGTAAAATTAAAATATGACATATCGTCATTGCCTTTTCTGTTGAATAAATGTGCCATGAACAACGATTTGCGCACTCCAAAACATGCAGTTTATTACCTTCATGAACGCTGTTGTGAACGGGCGCGGTTTGTGAAAAACACAGTCGAGAGGTTCTTCACAATCGCTGAATGCATAAACCGTCACGTCACCATCAATAATTAACGAAAGTCTCGCGCATGCCGATGATCGGAAGTGGTCAGACCCAGACCTTTATCGATCCTTAACATACACGGGTGATTAAATATCTTCAACGAGGGGCAGCCT